ACAAAAGAGCTTCTCTTTGGAGAGGTAAGGAAGCCCTAAGGTGTGGCTGGGAGGCATCTGGGCCTCGGTGTCTGGACAAGCAGTGGCAAGTCACAATACAAGATGGTACCACGAGGAGGCTGAGATCAGAAGGATCGTGATTAGAGGCCAGCCTAGGCAGAAAGTTCTCCAAAATAACCAGAGCAAAATGGACTGGAGGTGTGGCCCAAGTGGTAAAGTGCCTACTTTGCAAGGAGTTCAAACTCTAGTTGCATCAAAAAAAAAAAAAAGAAAGAAAGAAAGAAAAGAAAGAAGAAAAGAAAGAAAGAAAAGCAAAGGGAAAAAAAGCTGTCCCCAACCCCCATCACGGGAGAGTCTGTTGTTATTTTCTACCTTCAAAATTAGTATGAACTGTTTAATGTCACAGAGCAAATAGCAATATGACTTATTTCATGAGCTATCTCATGGAGGGATCTCACTATACTTTTTATGATGAACTATAGTTTTGGGGGATTTGGTTTTGGTTTGTTTTTTGGGGGGTTTAAACTGAGGGCCTCACACTTGCTAAGTAGGTGCTCTACCACTTCAGTTATGCGCCAGCCCCTTTTTTGGCTTTATTTTCCAGGTAGGGTCTTGTGTATTTACTTGGAGTCAGCCTCTGACTGCCATCTTCCTACCTATGGCCTCCTATGTAGCTGGAATCAGAGGCACACGCCACCATAACCAGCTATTTTGTTGAGATGGGGCCTCACGAATTTTTTGCCCAGGCTAGCCTCAAACCATGACTCTCCCAATCTCTACCTCCCATTCTCTGCCTCTGAGATTACAGACATGCATCACCACACAAAAGATACACATTTAAAGTTTTTGAGGGCTGCCAGAGTGGTTCAAGCAGAATAGCGCCTGCCTAGCAGGCACAAAACCCTGAGTTCAAACCCTCCCAAAATTTTTTTTGACAAATACTATTTTACCCTCCAAAAAGGTCATATGGATTTATCCTTCTATCAACTATATATGAAAGTGCCGGTTTCCCCATATCTTCCTTAACACTGGGTATTATCAGTTTTTGTTTTGGGTTTTGGTTTTAGTTTTGCCAATAGGATAAGTGAAAGATGTTTGTGTAGCAGGCCTATTATATTACAAAACATTACTTCTGGGAAGTTTGGGGTAGCGTGTGTGCCATGTGCCATTGGTCTGAATCTTCCCCCTGCCCCAAAGTCCTGGGTACTTCTTAGCCCCTCATCTAGCACCTGCTGCTGTTCCCAGGTTTTGGGAACTCAGCACCTTCAAAGGAAACAAACACAGAAGCAGGACGGGCAGAGCTGCTGGAGCGGGTGCTGCGGGAGCTGAAGGTGCAGAATGCTGTGCTGGTGAGCCCCTCACTGAGCGGCCGCTATGCCCTGCCCTTCCTGATGCAAGGCCACCACCAGCTACATGGATTTGTGCCCATCGCACCCACCTCCACCCGGAACTACACGCAGGAGCAATTCTGGGCTTTAAAGGTACTGGGAGAAGGATCTCCAAAGATCCTGGTGGTCTGTCATCTTGTGTCATGGCATGGTAAGGGGAGGTCAGGACTCAAGTCTTCCTTGGAGGACCGTGGCTCCTGATACTGGATGGAAGAGGTGGGGTGTTTAGCAAAGGTTCCTAGGGAATAGGTCACAGGTCCGGTGCTCACCTGGCCCCAGGATCACAGCTCTTGCCTTGCCCTGCAGACCCCAACCCTCATCCTCTATGGGGAGCTGGACCACACCATGGGCCAAGAGTCACTGCGGCAGCTCCGCCACCTGCCCAACCACTCCGTGGTGAAGCTACACAATGCGGGCCATGCCTGCTACCTCCACCAGCCAAAAGACTTCCACCTTGTCCTCCTGGACTTCCTTGACCATTTGCCTTGAACTCCCCCACTTCCCAGGCCTGATCTGAGCATGGAAGGCGTGGTCCACCATTCCCCCCTCCAGGAAGACATTCTTTGGGATTGGAGGGCAGAGGGGCAGGCCCAGCCAGGCCTTCCCATTTCATTTCACAGGTACAATAAAGTAAAGCTATTTGTCTTTACTGGAGAGTGGCAGGTTGTTCCCTGACATGCTTTGCAAGCGGTGGGAGTGGGAGGCAAGTCTGGGATTGCTTTGAGGGAGTGCTCCAGCCACTTGGGAGTCTTAAGAGTGCACCACTTTCTCACTGTCTGCTCTTCTCTGTGCTTCGGTTTCCTCATCTGTGAAAGGGGTGTGATTGCAATATTTACACACGGCGCTGGGGGAGATGTTACTGCTGCTACATGACCACTGGGGTCAGTGGGAATTGCAGAGTCTGGACAGCTGAGCTGGGTTAGGAATGCAGAGTATGTGGACATGGTTTAAGAATTAAACCAACATTGTGGTGGAACCACCAGGCTGTGCACTCCCTTGTTCCGTGTGGGTGAGCAGTCAAAGACTTCAACCCCAAGAAGGGTGGACTAGACCCCTCCTTTACCCTCCCGGTCTGCTTTCTTGGTCCAGAGGTTGTGGGGCCCTTGCCCCTCGCCAAGCTGGCAGAGCTCCTGGAGCAGAGGGCAGAACTACATGGGTGTGCAGAGAGCAGCCAGACAACAACAATTCTATACAGCCTGCAGGAGGACATGGGGAAATCAATGTTCCTCCTCCCTCTCCCTTGGGTACAGGAGCGACCCAAGAAGAGTTTAGAATAAGACTAGCAAGAGTGCTGATTCTCCATCTCTGATGCTGTCCTACAGCATCACGATTACATCCTGTCACCACGACATCCAGTCACACCCACCATCTCACTTAATTGCCACATGTATGGCCATACTCATTGCTACACGGATTTGTCCACACAGTAGCACGTTCACACAGTCACACGTTCTACCCATCCGCTTATCCTTCATCCTGGCACGTTGCTTGAGATGTCTGTTTCTGCCTGCAGGGTACCCGCAGGTACATGGACTAGCCTCCGGGAGCTCACGGTGAGGCAGGCAGACATTAACCAGTAACCTCACTCCACAGGGAGCTGAGGCGGTCAGGGAGGACCTCCCTGAGACATTGAATCATGAAGAGGGGAGAGTAGGACGCTTGGGACGGGGGCAGAGGAGCAGGCGGGGCTTTGCAGCTCTGAATCCAGCGAGCAAGCTTAGACTTTTGGCTTCAAGGCCCCGCCCACCTTTCCTTGCGCCCTATCCAAAGGCTAGAGGAGGGGGTGGAGTCCTCTGGGCGGGGCCATTCTGAGCTCGTAGCCCCCGCCGCGGAGCCTGGCGTGGGGCGGGGCGGGGCGGGTGTGCCGGGGGCGGAGTTAGCCATGAATTTGCTGCTCGCGGGGCGGAACTGGCCGCCGCAGGGAGGGGCCATGGCGGGATCCGGGAGCTTCTAGGGGAAGCTCCGCGCAGTGGCGGGAGGGGACGTCGGCGCCTGCTCGGCTGCAGGGACTGGGACGGCCTTTACTTGCAGCCGTGAGTCTCCGCCCCGCGACACCGCTCCAGCCACGTGGTGGGCGGACCGGGGCGGTTTTGAGCTTGCGACCTCGGTGGACCCAGAATTCTGGCCACAGTCCGGGACGAGCGCTGAGAGACGATCACGGGCCCAAGACCAGGACAGAGCAAGGTGGGGGTCCTTGGATATGGGTAGAGGGATCTGGGGATCCCTGGCATGAAAGCTAAACAATTGGGAGAATATTTTGAAGAGGGCGCAGGGAGTCAGTGTCCGGATTCAAGCTGGGCTCAGTTACTACCTACCTGTCCCCGAACCTGTCTGAGCCTCAGCTTTCTTCTCTGTAAAGTGGGCATTCAGAAGCACAAACTTCCTCGAGCTCTTTGGGGAAGTATGTTGAAAGCTGCCTATTTAGCTCCTGACACAGAATGGGGCCTCCAAAACAAGTTGTCCCTCTCCTTGTGGCAACCGCAATGGGGAAGACCCGTGTGCAGGTGAAGTCCACCCAGCCCCATTCACTTTGTCCCCAGCTTTTTACGCGTGGTGCCATGACTAGCAAGGGTCCTGAGTCCGAGCACCCATCCGTGACGCTCTTCCGCCAGTACCTGCGCATCCGCACTGTCCAGCCCAAGCCGGACTATGGTGAGAATGCGGGGCTCCAGGGTCTGTGATGGTGCCTCAGGGGCAGGGGCTGTTCTGTACATCAACTTCAACTCCTGTCACCCAGCTGAGCCCCACTGCTGCCCCAACACCTGTAGCCATTCCCTAAGTCAACAGTCGCAGACCCAGCCCTTCTGCAGTGGACCACCCTTTCCACAGAGGCTGTGCTGCTCCAAATGGTTACACCTGGCAGCTACTTAAGGAACAGCTTCACCTCACTCCCCAGGATGGGAGTGGGGTAGGGAGACTGAGATAGCAACAAGATACTACAAAGATCATAGCCCTTAGGGAATCAAGATTGGTAGCTGGGAATTTTGTGCTTGGGTCCAAATTTCTGCTGGGAGAGTTACCGTTTCCAGCTGAGATAGGTTGGGTGAAGAATCTCTTCACGTCTCTGGGCCATATTTCCATATCTTTAAGGAAGAAAAGAATAACAGCTGCTGGACGTGGTGGTGCATCCTAATAATTCCAGTCCACAGCACAAGACTTTAAAAAAAAAAAAAAAGAAGAAGAAGAAGAAGAAATGCAAGAATAATACCTGCTTCCAGAAGAAAGTTTTTTATTTATTTTTTTTTGGCGACACTGGGTTTGAACTCAGGGCCTTACACTTGCTAGGCAGGCCACTCTATCATTTGAGCCACTCCACCAGCTAATATCTGCTTCCAATCCTGCCTTTCCCCTGACCCCCAAAAAATCTCTTTTATTGGGAACAGAAATACATGTGTCTCTGAGGGACATGGAATTTCGCTGGGGGTGGCAGCTCATCTCTGGGTTTGCTCTTCTATCTGGGCTGCCTAGGCTGATGGGAGCCATGGGTAGGCAAAAGTAGCCCCCAAATTCTCTGTGCCCCCAGGAGCGGCTGTGGCCTTCCTTGAGGAGAGAGCCCATCAGCTGGGCCTGAGCTGTCAGAAAGTAGAGGTGAGCCTGGTGTCCTGAGGGAGGAAAGGCAGGGGGTCTAGGGCTGCCTCCTCACCCAGCACTGACCACCTCCCCTCCTGATCTTTTCCAGGTGGCACCTGGCTATGTGATCACTGTGCTGACCTGGCCAGGCACCAACCCCACCCTGTCCTCCATCTTGCTCAATTCCCATACCGATGTGGTGCCTGTCTTCAGGGTACATACGGAGAGGCGGGTGGGGCCTGGACAGATAGAACGTAGGCTGAGACTTCAGGATTCCATCTCAGGGGCCTATGTGCTGGTCCCAGCACTAACTTTTGACATCCATGTGGTATTACTCAAGCAGCCTTCAGCCAGCGAGGGTTCTGTGTACAAGGGTGAGGATGGGGGGCAGGAGACAGACGGCAGAGAGCAGTCAGCCTTCTTCAGCCCTCTTCTGTCCCTCTCACAACCCCACTCACCACCCCATCTCTATGCCTGGCCCTCTTCCCGTCTCTTCTCCCAGGAACATTGGAGTCATGACCCCTTTGAGGCCGTCAAGGATTCCGAGGGCTATATCTATGGCAGAGGCACCCAGGACATGAAGAGTGTCAGCATCCAGTGAGTATCCATCATTTCCAGTCCCCCACAGTGTCCCCGCTGGCCCAATGGACTGACCCAGAATTTAGGGATGTGATTGGAGAACCTCAAGGCCAAGAGATATCTCAACCCTTTCCTATGGGCAGGAATCACTGCTATGACCATTGCACAGATGGGGAAACTGAGACCCACAGAGTGGCAGGGTAGGGTCCAGGACTGCACTCTGGCAGCTCTGCCTGGCTCCCTCAGTTCTTGTCTTCTGCCCCTTCAGGTACCTGGAGGCTGTGAGGAGGCTGAAGGCTGAGGGTCACCATTTCCCTAGAACTATCCACATGACCTTTGTGCCTGGTAGGGAGTGGCCCAGGGAGGGGCATCACTGGGAAAGGAGAGGGTGTGTTGGGAGACAGCCCCCTCATCTCACACCCCTGTTGCTTTTAAAGATGAGGAGGTCGGAGGTCACCAAGGCATGGAGCTGTTTGTGAAGCGGCCTGAGTTCCAAGCCCTGAGGGCAGGCTTTGCCCTGGATGAGGGTGAGCAGGTTGGCAAGCCTGATACCAGCCAGGCCTGAGGTTGGAAGACTGCTAGAGGGAGATGGGTCACTCCACCCGTGAACCTTTCTCCCTCAGGCCTGGCCAACCCAACTGATGCCTTCACTGTTTTTTATAGCGAGCGGAGCCCTTGGTGTGAGTATGGGTTTGGAGAGTGGGGTCACTGCATATGGGAGACTAGGCCAGAAATGGCAGGGGCCTACAAAGGGTCACACAGCAAGTTGAGGCCTAAATAGGCCTTGAACCCAGACCTCTCCCTCCCAGCCCTTTCCTTCCAGAGCTCTGAGGGCAAGCTCTGACTGGCAGGAACCAGCTCTATGTGTCAGGCTCTGAGGTGGACAAGACCCTGCCAGAGGATCTTGGAATGAGAGGGAGGAGACCTGAGCCCACCCAAGGCTGATTATATCTCCAGCTGTCTTATGCTGAAAACATTCCCTTTCCCCTGTGTTTCCCCAGGGGTGCGGATCACCAGCACTGGGAGGCCAGGCCATGGGTCACGCTTTGTCGAGGACACAGCAGCAGAGAAGCTGGTACGTGGCCCATGGGGAGTTGCGGGCATTCGGGAGGCTCTGTCCCAGGGCCATGCTCACATCTCACCTCACACTCCCCTAGCACAAGGTTGTGAGCTCCATCCTGGCATTCCGGGAGAAGGAAAGGCAGAGGTGAGGCAGCCTGGGAAAGGGCAGGGTGGGGGACTCTGGGAGGCTGTGCAAGACAGGAGGGAGGCTGAGCCCCTTTCTTTATCTGCTGCCCCCACCCACTACAGGCTGCAGTCAAACCCTCACCTGAAGGAGGGGGCTGTGACTTCCGTGAACCTGACTATTCTAGAGGGTGGTGTGGCCTATAACGTGGTACCTGCCACTATGAGCGCCAGCTTTGATATCCGCGTGGCACCAGATGTGGACCTGAAGGTGTCACCTCCACCTGTGTTTGGGGAGAGAACCTGGGTCCCCAGTCTTGCCCCAGGGGCTCAAGGAAAGCATGAGGGGTCAACTCATGTCTCTTCTCTTAGGCTTTTGAGAAGCAACTGCAGAGCTGGTGCCAGGCAGCTGGCGAGGGGGTCACCTTCGAGTTTGCTCAGGTATTGACTGGGACCTATGATGGAAGAGTGTGAGGGCTGGGAGACACTGGGCTCACCAAGGGTGTGACAGTGTACCAGTGTGTGTGTGGTGTGCCTGCATACATCCGGGGATTCTTAAGCTGTAAGAGACATTTATTCAGCCAATCCAATACGCATTAGTTGTAGAGGCCATTGTGGGTGCTGGGGAGTACAGTGGGGAGTAAAATTAGGCTCAGATCTTACTCTCATGGCCCATAGAGCATGAAGGAGAGACAGACAGAAAACAAATGTTTACATATTACTCAGTTTTGTTTTCTGAGACAGGGTCTTACTATGTAGTCCAGGCTGGCCTCGAAACTCTTGATCCTTCTGCCCCAGCCTCGCAAGTGCTGGGGGATTACGGGCATGCACCACCACACCCACCTACATAATATTGATATAAATATGCCTACATATGATCCAGGAAAGAGTGGGACCTTGTACTCTGAGAACATGTAATCTGGGTGTTCCATCAGTCTGAGAGGACTGGGGGAGCCAACTTGAAGAAGGGACACTTGGACTAGGAGGGAAGCAGATGAAGGCCATGGAAACGTCCCAAAGACTTAGGGCGTTAGAGGACTGGAAGAGGGTCTGTGGCTACACTGGCCGCCTGGATGTCTGGTAGATGGGTTGGTGGAGGTGTGCCAGGCACAGTCCTCTCAATGAGAAATAAGGCAAGGTACCCCAGTCCCTGTCCTTATCCTGCCATCCTTTCCATCCTCAGAAGTGGACTGAGCCCAGGGTAACACCTACTGAGGATACAGACCCCTGGTGGGCAGCTTTCAGCCAAGTTTTCAAGGACATGTAAGCAGTGGCCAGCCCTCCTCCCATAGCCAGCTCCCTGCTTATCTCCTCCTAATGCTGGTGCCTCTCCGCCCTCCCCCCTGGCCCTTCCAGTTCTTCCTTGCCCTCTCCCCTCGGTGTTCACCAGGCTCTTCCCCTGCAGGAGCCTCACTCTGAAGCCTGAGATCTTCCCTGCTGCCACTGACAGCCGCTATATCCGAGCGGTGAGCGGCTTGGACAGCAGTACAGGGTGGTGGGCTGGCCCGAATGCTGGCTTCCCCCTAATGGTCTCACCCTTGCAGGTAGGGATCCCAGCTCTGGGCTTCTCGCCCATGAATTGCACACCTGTGTTGCTGCATGACCACGATGAACGGCTGCACGAGGCTGTGTTCCTTCGTGGGGTTGACATATACACACGCCTGCTGCCTGCCCTCGCCAGTGTACCCGCCTTGCCCAGTGACAGCTGAGCCCCACGTTCCCCAACCCCTGCCTCTAGAGCTTCCAACCCAGCCATTGTCAAGGACTTCCTCATCTTCCTGCCCAATAATAAAGTCTGTGTGGACAGGGGCTGTCCCTGAAGTACTGTGGACACTTGTGCAGCAGGGATTCTCATTTCTCTGGGGACAGGCTGTTAGTATTCCCATTTCACAGATGAGGAAACTGAGCCTGGTTCTGACCCTTTCCTACCACCTCACTCTACTCTGTGCCCTTGGAAACAGTACACCATCCTTTACCACACAACCACATCTGTGCTCGGCAAGGGTCCACAGTTCTCATGTACAGTGGCCGCCATACTTATATCTGATCTACAAAATTGGGGACACTGTTGCTATCATAAGCAGATACCAACAGCTGGGGGCATGGATCAAGTGGTAGAGTGCAGTCAAACCCCCAGTAGCACCAAAAAAAAAAAAAAAATGTGGACACCAAGGTAAGTACCTCAGGGAACCTGGCCTCATGGGGACACTCAGGATCCCAGGACAGGATAGAACAAGGCCAGCTGGGCCCTTGCCAGATGTGGGGTCAGCAGAGAGACAGCTTATAAGGTATGACTTTTTTTTTTTAACTAGCGTTTTAACTCTAGACCTCCCACTAGCCTGATAGGCAGGTGCTATACCACTTGAGCCACACCCCCAGCCCATGACTGCTTTTTTGTTGTCTGTTTTGTCAAAATCATGGGCTCTGGTGTTGAGAACAGAGATCCTAGATCAGGTCAGCTCAGCATACATTCCCTGGGATGCTGGCTAGTGATCATGGACCAGAGTGTGTATACTGTCAGCCCTTGCAGGGACCCAGCTAAACGTGAGTAGCCATGTTGGTTGCAACCATCATTCTGCCTACCTGGGTGGCCTTCCCATGCATTCCAGACCCTTTAGGCTAGTCATTAAGACACAGGGACTGCTTAACTGATGTTCGACACTTTTTGAGAAAGCCCAACTAGGTACATCCTAGTTGGCTGAGGACCACCTTAGCACATAAAACCCTTTCCTCCTGCCTCAGGGTACAGGGATCCTCCTGGCTGGTGCCATCCAACACATGCTTCTGCCCACAAGTTCCTAAGGAACTGGGTTTTATGCAATCCAGATTTGTCTGACTTTATTTGGTCTCTGGCCACCTTCTGCCTTTGAGGTAGTTTCTCATATACCAGGTTTTCCTGAAACAGATGGGTAGCCCAGTCAGCTATGCCCCAGGAGCTGTGCTTGCTCCTTCTGCCTTATCTACCCTGACTTCCAAGAGTATGGGACAAATGGCAGGGAGGGATGACTTAAGTACCTAACTGTGACAAGTCCAGGTACTGGCTCATGACCTACAGTAATGAATGACCCTTGCTCATAGCTGGCCAGGAACCAGGACTTGACCTGCTGTCATTGACCCTTACAAGCAGCCCTCTGACATACCTCCCAACAGAGATGATGCTTAAAGCCCCCCAACAGCTGGCTCTGGACTACAGCTTGGAGGTTTTAGTCAAAGGGGCAATAGCAAGCTGAGGCCCCTGGCTGGGGAGCTCCCTCTAGGCACCTCCTGACTCACAGCAGCATGACTAGGAAAAAAAACCTCCTTTTCTATCCACAACACAAGCCTTGCTCTGGAAGGCATCTAACCTGGCCAGGGAACACCACCTTCAGTTAATAAACCCTGCTCCTTTTAGAGGCCCATCTGTATTTGATACCTCCTGGCAAGGGGCAAATGATCACACAGAGATAGCAGCCAAGTCTTAGGTAAGCAATCTAAGCTGGGCTTAAGTGCTGTCAACAAGCATGGTGGGGGAGTGGGACACACCAAAACCAATTCCCTGGGGCCCACAGAGACCACCAGCCCTTCCTAGCCACATGATCAAGTCTACTTACCTGAGTAACCAAAATAGTTAACACCCACTTCAGAGGTAGGGGACCATATGCCATGGACTGCACCTGCTGCTCTGGCTTAACAGAACCCCTTTTTGAGTCTCCACAGTTGGACTGAGGCTGGTTTTGAAGACTGTTCCCAGGACAGGCTCCACCTGGTGCCTTCTATAGAAGCCAGGAAAAAGCTGGCTCTGAGGATCAGCACCCTGCATCTGAAGCATCTCACCCAAACAGCTAGGCCAGGCCCAGTCACAGTAGTATGGCAATGCCATTACTGCCCTGCCTTCCTGGGTCCCTGTCACTTGGGGAATTAGCACAACCCAGAGCAGTAGAAGCTGCCCAGGTGCACTGGACAGCTCAAATCTGGGACAACCCAGCCCAGAGTGCAGAATTCTTCAGCAGGGCCCATCCCTGAGGGTACTTGTCTTGTGTAGTAGTTCTTCCCTTCCTCAGCAGCTTCCCCAGTTACCTAGGTGCTAAGCTCCCCTGAAGCCCCAGCCATTTTTCATTTACTAAGCTCCCTCTTACACTCCAGGCCCATTTCCTCTTACCCACACCCAGCACCCACAAAAGACCGAAGTCCTTCTCAAAAGGTGGCAGCACCCTTACCCTCCACCCCAGGCCTGGCCTGACAGACACAGTTAACAGACCCTGCTTCAGATTTATTTGTAGAAACAGCATAGACACCAGCCACCCTGCAGATGACAGCCAGGGGGGTCCCATTAGTCCACCTGTCCTCACAATGGCAGACAGAGGCCTTTACTATGGGGCCTTCACAGGGGCTTGGGCACCTTTGGGAGCTTGTGCCTGGGTAGGAGCTTTTGCCGGAGTGGAAGCTGGAGCTGCAGCCTGGGCCTGGGCCTGGGCCTGGGCCTTGGCCTTGGCCTTGGCCTTGGCTTTGGCCTTGGGCCGGCAAAGCCTGCGACCCCTGGCCATATAGGTACGAATTCGCTTCCCCAGC